AGATATGACAAAATAATAATTTATAAATTATCAAGGGTTCATGAGGGAGGGGGGAGCGGGGAGGGAGGGGAAAAAAAGAGGACCTGATGCCAGGGGCTTAAGTGGAGAACAGATGTTTTGAGACTGATGAGGGCAATGAATGTACAGATGTGCTTTACACAATTGATGTATGTATGGATTGTAATAAGAGTTGTATGAACCCCTAATAAAATCATTTAAAAATTTTAGACAAGAAAAACAAGAAAATATCAAAGGGAAGACAAAGTAAAATATTATAATGCAATGTGCAAAAACCTAGAGCTAGGAAAACAAACAGGAAGAACTTGCTCTGCATATCTCAAACTGAAAGAAATTTAGAAAGAAGATTCAAAACCTTAAGTTTCAATCTTGAAAGATTCATGGGCACAATACTAACAATGCAGGAAGCATCCAAAGAAGATGGAAAGAATACACAGAGCTACTGAACAACAAAGAACTGGCTGACATGAGCAAGTCCAATGATGCTGAAAAAAGATGTTCAAGCTGCACAAAAACATTAGCCAAAAACAAGGCCCCAGGAATTGAAATGTTTCAACAAGCCAATGAAGCACTGGAAACACTGATGTAGCACTCATTTGTCTATGCCAGGAAATTTGGAAGATGGCTACTTGGCTGACTGACTAAATATGGAGAGATTCATGTCTGTACCCATTGCAAAGAAAGGTGACCCAAAAGAATGCTTAAATTATAGAGCAAAATCGTTGATATTGCATTCAAGTAACATTTTGCTGAAATCATCCAACAATGATTGTAGCCGTATATTGACAGGGAGCTTCCAGAGGTTCAAACTGGATTCAGACATGGACGTGGAACAATCATTGCTGATGTCAGATGGATCGGGGCTCCAAGCAGAGAATACCAGAAAGATGTTTTATTGACTAAATCAAGGAATTACCCTGTGTGGATCATAACAAACTATGGATATCCTTGAGGATGGGAATTTCAGAACACTTCATTGTGCTCATGTGAAACTTGAACATGGATCAAGAAGCAGTTGTGCGAACAGAACAAGGGACTAACCGCCTGGTTTAATGTCAGGAAGGGGTTCATCAGGGCTGCATCATCTCACCATACTCAATTTGTATGCTGAGAAAATTATCAGAGAAGCTGGCTTATATGAAGAAGAATGTGGCCTCAGGATTGGAGGAAGGCTTATTAACAAACCTTCGATATGCAGATAACACCACCTAGTTTGCTGAAAGATGGGAGGATTTGGAATATGGCTAATGAAGATCAAGGGTTGTAGCCTTCAATATGGTTTACAATTCAATGTAAAGAAGGCCAAAATCTTTACAACTGGACCAATAGATAACATAATGGTAGAGAAAAGTTCAAAGTTGTCAAGAATTTCATCTTGCTTGGATCCAGAGATCAAAGGCACATTGCATAGGGTAAATATGTTGCACGAGACCTCTTTAGAATGTTGTAAAGGTTACTTTGAGGACTGAGGTGCACGTGACCCAAGCCATGGTATTTTCCATTGCCTCATATGCATGTGAAAGTTGGACATGGATGGGATAAGGAAGACTGAAGAATCAATGAGTTTGAATTACTATGGACTGCCAAAAGGACAAACAAAAGTATTTTGGATGAATAATGACCACTCAGCAACTGAGTATATTACATATTTGCACCAGCCCTGGAATCCTCTCCTTCAACTAACAGCAGCAGTTTGAAAATGTTCAGCATATTGCCATACTTTGGTCACTCTACTTTCAACTACTAACCTTTAGCTAACACTTAACTAAGTCAAAATGAAACTTCGTATCTGTTAACTTTGAAGCCAAAAAGGTAATGCTCAAATCAGCAGTTAATTTTGTTACCTGGTGTGTACTAAGCACGTAAGACTTTAAACAGCCCAGTAGACATTAGGACATTAATGACAAATGATGCATTTTAATCCTAATCTTATGTTAAGTTTCTTCTTCTAGTCAAAGACTCTGCTAGAGATTAAAAAATATATATATAATAGGTAAAAATAACTATTGAGGTAACTAAAGAAGACGAGAAAAAAGAATAGTAGAGTTGAAAATATTATAGAAATTAAAGAAAGGCACATAACACAGCTATTTATGTATTGTGAGATTACAGAACATACCATGGAGCTAGAGTTTCTGATATTAGTTCTATATTTCATGTTCAGTATTTTTACTGATTAATTCTAATTGTGTATTATTTTTGCTATCATAAGTGCTACTTTTATCATAATTTTTTCCTTTAAAGATGTAATTATGTGGAAAATAATTATTTATGTGAAATTTCCTAGCTCTTTAAAATCCAATACACATATTGATACGTGGTAAAAAATATCCATTTGGCTTCCATTTTTCCTAAAATAAGTGAAAAACTTGGTATTTTAATGAAGTCCTATAAAACATTTAATTTTTCAAAATAAAAAAAACCATGAAAACTACTGCAAAAATATTAGAACTTAATACATACGAGGTATCCCTACTTGTTGTTTTCTGATTGCGGGACCAATGTTCAGTTTCTTATCCTTATAATTAAGTTTTTCTGCCTAAAACAAACAAAAAAATAATTTGATTATTTTGACACTATTATAAAACTATTATGGAAAAACTAGTGGAAAGAACTTTAAAAATTCAGACTATAATATTTTTTGAAGGCAGAAAAGCACAGTCAAAATGGAAATTGGAATTCAAAAATATTTGGCTCCCAAATTTGGCTCCAATGCTCTGACCCCTAGTTCCATATATGAAATATATGACTTAATATGTATTACTCAAATTCTATTTTCTCTATTAAAAAGTAAATGCTACATTTGCCATAACTTAAAATTTATTACACTGAACTGCTGACTAAATAAATATTTTTCTCTTACATAATATTCCATGGAAAGAGAATAATTTCAGGTGACCTCTACGAATCCTTGCTTATAGCCTTCTTAAGTAATTTTAAATCCCACTAGCATTTTATAAAAGTTTAAATTAATAAAATGAAAAACTAAATTAAAATTTCAATACCACATCCATGTAATGATCTAGAATATGTTTTTCTGCAGATAAATGTTCACTTTAACCTTTTTGTGAAAGGTTTTGTTTTGTTTTGATTTTTTTAAAATCAAAGCCAATCTTACAGTACACATAAATTAGTATTAAAAAGTAATTTATCATTTTATTAGCACTCTGCTATTAAAATAAACATTTTGAGGGATAAGTTTCAAAGAAAGAACTTCTAACAGTGATGTTAAATACATCAAAAGCTCTTACCTCTTGTAAAATTTTTTGTGCATCTTCTTGTGTTTCAAATGTGATGAAACCATACCTAGATAAAAAGACGAATTGTTTTCTTAAACTCATATTACTGTTATATTAACACTGTAAAACTTTCATGTATAGGCCACAATAGGAGTGAATATCTTTCTATGGTATGCCAGTATGAAAAGTTAGGGGTAACAGTCATAGCTTAACACTGTCACTAACAGACAGTTTAGATAGGGGACTAACAGAAAACAGGGATTTTGTAAGTTTTAGCGATAAGCTGTCTCTAAGCCAGGAAAGCATGAAAGAGTCTTGATTTGACTTATAAATTGGGATGCAATGAATATTTTTTCAGAACAATAAGCTCTTTTTAAAATAACAGGAGTTTAATTTAAATAGAAATATGGGGAGGGGGAAGAAGCCTTAAAAATTTAAAGAAAAAAATTTCAACACAATAACTTACTATATAACTATTATTAGAAATATAAATAATGTATATGTTAGTATATTTCTCCTTATACAAGTTAAAATATGTACTATATAAACTCATGTACAGTGAATACTTTTCATGTAATTGTTACCTTAAGCATGCAATTTATGTAAGTTCATTTTAAAAGATAGAAATATATAACATACACCATGTCCCAAAGGCAAAAATAGAGAAAGAAGTGAAGTTTATTCCACCAAACCACAATATCTTTATATATGAAATTTTAGGAAACTCTTTTGAATGATGCTAAATTCCTTGGCTGCTATATTCTCCAATTTATAATTGTTGGATTATATATACTGTTCTTTATTTTTCACAAAGGAATTTCTTTTTTTCTGTTAGTTCAAACGTGAAACAAGAGTGGACATATTTTTACATTACATTTTTTTGGTAGAACACGTACACCACCCAGTGGAAAAGCATAAAATGCAGTTTACATTTTTATGTGTTTATTAAATGAGAAAATATGGATATGCACAATATAATACAAATTCTATTAGCCAAACAAAAGTGATAATAATTTTACTTTATCTTTATATTATTTTGCAATCTGAGGCACTATCTCATCTGCTTAAAGATACCCTCTCTTTGGGATCTCATCTCTTTCAGAATGTCCACCTGTTACATTTAGGTTTCTCACTAATTTTTTTCTATCTCATTGCTATCTTTTCTTGTGCTTATAAATATATTATCTTTCTTTAAAGAAAAAAAATACAATCCTTTATTCATAGTCACTGCCATCTATTTTTCACTTTGTAGTCAAACTCCTTTAAATGAATGCACCATGCAAATCACCCATTCCCTCTCTGAAATTTGGTGTTTATACACACTGATCCACTAAAACAGCTTTAAGATAATTAGATATTCCTCGCAAATTATACTACTTTTTAATTTTTCACAATACAGCAATAAGAATTCATCTCGTTAGTCATTTTCCTCACATTAGTTCCCTAGTCCGTCTCTGAGGCACAGCCAACAGCCATTCCTCAGTGTCAGCTGCTGCAAGATAGTGTTCTCTGTAGTGTAGAGCGGGGATACAATGCTTCACATATCTGCTTCCATCAGCTGGACACTAAGTACTCAATATCAAGTCCCTGCTACCTGAAATGGTTGCTCAGTCCAGCAAGAACTGCCTTCCAACAAATGAAGGAACACTATAGACCTTATATGTAGACACATGTACACACACAAACATTAGCGAGTACATGTAACAAATAAGGGGAACAAAGATTGAATACAATTTTAAAAATAAAAGAAAGCAATGATTGCTCAACTCTTTTTGATGTGATTGAACCATTAAATTGTATGATATGTAAATTACACGACAATAAAATTGTTGGGAAAAAACAATAAAAGAAACCAAAGTAAATTAGTAAACAAAATCTATCGATTTAATACAGTTGGTAATTTTACATACTATCCTTAGAGATACTAACCCTTTGGACACTCCAGCTCTGTCATTTACAATCTTCACTTCTTTTACAGACCCATACTGGGAAAAAAATTTTCTTAAATCATTTTCATTTGTCTAATGGCATGAAAAGCAAACATGAAAAGAATGTTTAATTGAAAAAAGATGCAACAATTCTTATGCTTATTTTTAAGAGATAAAATATTACAAAGAATAATATAGATATAACAATATCCCTTATTATAAAGACAGTATGCTTATTAGGTTTTAAAAACAAAAACCTTGCTATATACAGTAATAATGTTGCTAAACTGATATATATAAAAAATTTTAAGAATTATTTTAAAATCACATAGAACTCACACTCTAAATGACTCTTTCAATGGTTCTTATTGTCTAGTTTTTAAAAACAATTTGGATTTGGCCTGGCTATAAATATATACTCAGTGCATACTATTACAGACTTTGTGGCTTAAGAAGGCCCGTAGTTGTGGTAAAAACACTAGGTTATGTTGGCCTATCCCAGTTGCTCTCTTTTAATCAGCTTTCAGGAAGAGTTGAGTCTTGGGAAAGGCACATATTTCCAAAAACAGTGGAATGCAACTTGTAATAACAGCTACAAGTTAGTAAACAAGCAACCATCTAGCTCAGAAGCAACAAAGCCCACATGGAAGAAGCTCACCAGCCTGTGTGATAACAAGGGGTTGAAGGGATCAGGTATCATCAGAACAAAAAATCATATCATTGTGAATGAGAGGCGGAGTACAGAGTAGAGACCCAAAGCCCATTGGTAGGCCACTGGGCATCCCCTTACAGAAGGGTCTCGGGGAGTAGATGAGCCAGCCAGGGTGCGATGTAGCAACAATGAAACATACAACTTTCTTCTAGTTCCTAAATGCTTCCTGCACTTTCCCCCTGCCCCCCCCCCCAACTATCATGATCCCAATTCTACCTTACAAATCTGGCTAGACCAGAGGATGTACACTGGTACATATAGGAACTGGAAACACAGAATCCAGGGTGGATGATCCCTTCAGGACCAGTGGTGTGAGTGGCGATATTGGGAGGGTGGAAGGAGGGTGGGTTGGAAAGGGGAAACCGATTACAAGCATCTACACATAACCTCCTCCCTGGGGGACGGACAACAGAAATGTGGGTGAAGGGAGACGTCGGACAGGGCAAGACATGACAAAATAATAATTTATAAATTATCAAGGGTTCATGAGGGATGGGAAAAAATGAGGAACTGATGCCAAGGGCTTAGGTGGAGACCAAAAAGTTTTGAGAATGATGAGGCCAATGAATGTACGAATGTGCTTTACACAATTGATGCTATGCATTGAGATAAGAGTTGTATGAGCCCCTAATAAAACGATTAAAAAAAAGAAAACAATACTTTGCAGAGTTGCACCACCAATCACGTCGGAGCAGCGAGTGTCCCAGTCAACCCCCGTGTTGGTGGTTCTTGCTTCTTTTCTTCTTTTTTCTCTCCCACCTTCCCTCTTTCCCAACCCCACCCACATCCCCCATGCCCCGGAGCCTTGTCATAGCCTTGATTCTTTTAGTGTGAAAACGATTTTTCTTGGGTTTGCCCTTGATGGCAATGGTGCCATGAGATAATTATCTTTATGTGATTGACTAAATTCACTGAGCACAAAAAAACCCCCAGCTACAAGTTAATTTAGTTATCAGATAATCTGTATTCAATATCCATTTCAGTGAAATAAACATTTTTATATTAAAATTTAAATCATATCGAGACCTACAGCGTATAAGTTATCTACAAAGATGGTGTTTGCATACTTGGTTTTACCAGAAATCGCCTCATACTAGACTCATAATACCTTTTCTCAAAGTATCCACCTTAAATCTTGTTGTCATACCATCTTTTGTTTTGGCTAGAACTGTTTATCCTCAAGAGCACTCTTACATGGCCCTCTTTACACACATGGGAAAAGATCCATGTGTAGCCACAGAACTTTCCCTCTTGAGCACTACTGCGACCTTACTTGTATTGCTTTTTAGATGGCAGCATAAAAACCTGCTCAGCTGGATGATGACAACCACGTATTTCAATAAACACATAATAGAGTCAATGCTACACTAAAGACTGGTGTTAAAGAGATTTGAAAAAAATTACTTAAAACTACCCAGGGATAATGAATCATTCAGTTTCTTCATTGCGGAATAAGGACATGAAAAGGTGTTTGTGATAATTAAAAAGGGACAAGTTGTAGGCGTCTAACTAAAAGAGGTTTGAAAAATTTGAGACTTTTTTCTTCTACAGTAAGCTGTTGCTTCACAAGGGCATAAAGGAAAAAACCCTAGAAGTTACCTTAAAATTGTGATTGCACTGAAATATATTCCAAAATTCACATTGTAGATCATGTGCTTCAATGACTGAAGATACCATACACATCTTTTATTTATTGATGATATATTTAAAAAAACATACTATGCTATTATAATACAAATTAATTCTGAACAAGAATACCCAGATTTATGTTTTTGACTGTCATTATTTCCCACAGAAACAAAATCTATTTACAAAGAAGCATTTTATGAGAAATCATTTAAATAATGTTACTGAAATAATCATTTACTGAAATAGTCATGATTTTGCTTAATACAAAACTATGATATTTTCTTGAACAGGAAAAAATAATTCCATTTAAATTGTGGGAGATTGACTATATGAAAATAACCAGTTCTGGTGATGCTGTTGTGTAGCTAAGCTCAAAGTTGGCAGTTCAAACCCACGAGCTGCTCCTCAGGAGAAGGATGAGGTTGTCTGCTCCCTAAAGATTTGCAGCTTTGAAACCCCTATATAGGGATGCTTTGTGTTGGAACTGACAGGATGGAGTTGGTCTAGTCTATTCCAACCATGATGACTGGGTGTGTGTCACATTAGAACTGTGCCCCATCAGGCTTTTCAATGGCTCATTGTTCAGAAGTAGACTGCCAAGCCTTTCTTCTGGGTCCCCGGCATGGATTAGAGCATCTGAATATAAAGAAATGTGAGCTACAAAGGCACGAAGATTTCTTAAATTACAAAATACAACTCTTTCTATAATTTCCAGTATGTAATATAGACGTTTGGAAGTCTTTCTATATACATATATATCCATTTGGAAGTAAGGGGATTCCATTTACAGGCAAGTATGCTTTCCATTTCCAAATAAGTGGTTCTCACTACCCCATATATGGGAGTGCTGTAAAATACTTACAAACTATGTTTCTTAGCAGTAGTCCAATGGTCGATTATATGATTTAAATATACCACCATCACAAGTACTTTGAACATGTTATCAATAGAGACCACTTTCTAGAGAAGGGCATCATGTTTGGTCAAGTAGAAAACTAAAATAAAACCAAACTCACTGCTTGCGATGTCGACTCATAGCAACCCTATAGGACAGGGTACAACTACACCCATGGGGTTCTAAGACTGGAACTCTTCATATCAGTCAAAAGCCCTTTCTCCTGCAGAGCGGCTGGTGGTTTTGAACTGCTCACTTTGATCAGTACCCAACTTGTAACCACGACATCTCCACTGTTAAAGTAGGTCAGTGAAAAGGCAGAAGACCTTCAACGAGATGGATTGGTGCAGTGGATGAAATCAAACACGATACTTGTGAGGATGGCTTACGAACACGCAGTGTTTCATTCTGTTGTACATAAAACCAGTAGAAGTCGCGACCAACTTGACAGAACTGAACAGTTACAATCCTTTATTCTGAAAATGGCACTAGACATTTTTGGGTGATTCAATCCTTAATTGAATCATATAAAAGTTTGATCAGGAAAGTCTTTTTTTTAAAAAAACCTCATTTTATTGGGGGCTTGTACAACTCTTACCACAATCCATACATGATCAGGAAATTCTTATATGTAAAATTCTTACACAGGTAAAAAGGGAGTTGCAGAAGGCTACTCTGTTTTTGTATTTGGGCTACCAGAATTTTACTCAAGAAAGTATATTAATATAGTATATTGAAATGAAGAATAAGGAGCTGAGTCAGGAAACAGCCTAGTCTTCACTCTGCCAGTGATTACCTAAGACTGGAACTTAATTATGTTAAATTAATGAGCCATAGCTTCCTAGTATGTAAAGTTGAACAATTATATATATATACCTTTCTATAGATACATGGTTGTTGAAAAAGTTACTTGTCTTAAGACAATTTGAAACAAATTGATCATTATGCAAATATAGTATTTTTATAGCTGCATAAGGAGACACATTTCTGAGAAATAAAACAACTTCTAATGTACAAAAATACTTGGTTACATTATAAATAGGTACCTTAAAGTCAATTCCTCCTACAAAGATGCGATTAGGGATCACTGTTCCATATCTTGGGGCACTTGTTGGGTTATTCAAAGGCACAGGTGACACGGGATTAGAGGATGGAGATAATGAATCTGTTTGCGTCTGATTTGATGTTTGCTATAAAATAAAATTGTCTTTAATTTTACACTAGTTTAAGTTTTGATATAGGATAAGATACATTTTTCAAAAAGACACTTAAACAAAATGTAGTGTTTTAGACTTTACTATTACTTAAATATTATGATGGTTACAATTAGAGCTAATCATTTTCGGTAGCAGAAAAACAGAGTATTTTTGAGTTACAAGCTTCTTAATTACGGAAAATAAGCTTAGGGATAAATATTAAAATCTAGAAGAATTCTGAGAATGAAAATTGGGCATATGGGACCTGGCCTGGCACAAATCTGGCCTGGCACAAATCAACTAAACCTTGATGTCCTCAGAATTGATCTGGCAGTTTGCAGGCCAATAGATAAACCCCTCAGGACCAATATTGAGAGTATCGATACCAGGAGGGTAAGGGGAAGGTGGGGCAAAAAAGAGGGGAACCGATCACAATGATCGATATATAACCCCCTCCCAGGGGGTCAGACAACAGAAAAGTGGGTGAAGTGAGTCAGCGGTCAGTGTTAAGACAAGAAAAAAAATAATAATTTATAAATTATCAAGGATTTGTAAGGAAGGGACGGTGGAGGAGGGAGGGAAAAAAATGAGGAGCTGATACCAAAGGCTCGAGTAGAAAGAAAATGTTTTGAGAATGATGATAGCAACAAATGTACAAATGTGCTTGACACAACGGATGTATGTATGGATTATGGTAAGAGCTGTTAGAGCCCCCAATAAAACAATGGAAGAAAAGATGGGAAAAATGATAAAATTCAAAAACAAAAAAAAACACCCCTCATTCGTTTTCAAGTTTGAATACAAGTCCGTTTCCACCGTATTTCATTGAGAAGCAGATGAAACGAACGGAAGTGAGCAGAGTGCTGTATTTCCAACCTTGAGAAACTAGGGAGCCTCACTGAAAATAGAAAAGTGTCAACTTTTTACATTCAATTCACGTCATTCTCCAGTTTCTAAGTTTGCCTGTGGTTGCAGCGCTTTGCTTTCCCGCTGACTGCTCATCCCTCTCTAGCACATGACCGTCTCGCCCAGCCACTCGCTGTAACACAGCGTCTAAAACCGCGGCAGACCCGTCTCGGGGGACCAGGAACGATTAGTGGAGGACCGAAGAACCCCGGACACGTAATAGTGTCCTGAGCAAACCCGTTCGCTCAGGGGCCCCCTTTTCGCTCCTTGGAGCCTGGTGAAGCACTGAGTCTAAGAGCCAAGTCTCAAGTTTCACAGGGAACACTTTCTCAAGGGCACGACGGCGTCCCCGAAGGGAAGAGGGTTAAGAGTGAGGGTCGCGTGCCGACTCAGCCAGCCAGCACAGAGGCTGATACAAAGTCACCTCCCGAGTCAGGTTCCCACACCGACCGTCCACGTTCGCCAATGAAAACAACGAGAGAGGCTAACCGTCGCCGTCACGGCCTCGGCGCTCTGTCCCCTTCGAGGCCAGCAAGTCGAGGCGCCGGGGAAAATGGCCGCGGAGACGCCGTCGTCGGCAACCCTCGGGTCATCGTGGGCCTGGGCGCTGGCCCGAGGATCCCCGCCCTCCCCACCAAAGTGCGGGAGGGAGAAGAAGGCTAACCAGCGGGAAATTTTGCTCTGCGAAGCGGCCCGAAGCGGTGGCGGGACCCCTCAACGGCACCGACCCAGCCTCGGCCTCCTGCGCAGCGGCCCGACGGGCCTTGCGTGGCGGGCGCTGATTGGCCGGCGGGAGCCAGAGG